CAAGTACCTACTATGGGCCCAGCATTGTTTCAGTTGCTGAATATTACATAATAATGGGAGACATTAAGAAATCACTGGATGGGGGCACCTGGGCGGCTCAGTCGTTGGGTGTCTGCCTTCGGCTCAGGTCATGATCCCAGGGCCCTGGGGTCAAGCCCCACGTCTGGCTCCCTGCTCAGCGGGAAGCTTCTCCCTCTCCCACACCCCCTGCTTATGTTCCCTCTCTCGCTGTCTCTCTGTCAAATAAATAAATAAAATCTTTAAAAAAAAATCACTGGATGTGTGCATCACCACCCAAAGCCCAGTGAGGAGTTCTTATTACTATTAGGATCATCCCATTTTAGAGGTGAGGACAATGAGACAGGGAGGTGACCTGCCCTAAGTCACATGGGCAGGAAGTGACAGAGCCAAGCTGGAGACCCAGGTGGTCTGACCGTACTTGGACCCCTGCTCTGCTGCCTGCTCAGGAAGGGGTGCGCTGAGAGGATGGGGTCTGCCCCTGCCCGCACCCCTGCCTCTGGCCGCCAGGAGGGTGGAGCTCTTGGCCAGAGCAGGGAGGGAGCCGGAGCAGTTCCCAGGAATGTGGGGCCGTTTGCTTTGGCAGCATATCTGCCCTCGGCTCTCCAAGCCTCCCTGTGGGCCCCCCCCCCTCAGGCTGGCCCCTCCAGCGCCCACCCACTGCCTGCTGCCCCTCCTAGGCTCTGTACCTAGATCCCACAAACCCCTGGGCAGGGAGGGGGTGCCAAGCTGGAGCCCTTTTGCCTGCCCCTCCCCACATCCTTGGGCAAAGGAGGGGCTGATAGTGAACTTGGCTTCTGGACTCACCTGGGCTTGAAATCCAGTTCTGCCACAGACAAGCTGTGTGACCTTGGACAGGTCACTTAATCTCCCTGAGCTTCAGTTGTGACATCTGTAAAATGGGGGTGGCCAGCACCTGCCTTAACAGGTGGTTGTTGGTCCTGTTGTCATGTAATATTCACCTGAGGCTTCCAGCTGGCTTGCTCCCCACCCCAGCGCTCAGTTTCCCCATCTATGAGAACTGCATGTTGATAGCCATGATCCCAGTCACCAAACACCCCTGCACCCACAGAGCACGGGGGAGGCTGGGGACTTACTTCCTCTTTCCATGCGATACCAAGAAAGCCACTGGGCTTTTGAGAGGTGCATCTTGGACCCTTGTCCCCAGGTTCTAGGCTAGGTGAGCCATGGCTGACCAAAGGGCAGTTTCAGGACCACGGGGGCAATAAGGGGTGTCCCTTACATGGCCCCATGCTGCTGTGGGGTGGGCAGGGAGAGCCCCCATCTTACAGAGAGCCCTGTCCTCTCTGCTTCTGGCCAGGAGCCCCTGAGTGCTTCTCAGGGTGGGTATGCCTAGCTGCCCCCCTCCACCTACGCAGGCTGCCCTCCAAGCTCCGGGCCAGCCAGCTGACCTCCCTCAAGCAGGGAAGGAGCGGCTTTATCCAGAGCGGAGTCCAGCCCACTCCCGTGGGTCTGGTGAGCTCGAGCCTCAGTTTCCCCATGTGTACGACAGGGGCAACGACGGCCTCTACTCCCAGTAGGGGTTTTAGAGGGTTCGGAGAATTCCTGGACAGCCGGTGCCTGGCACAGGGTAGGTGTTGGACGCATGCTGAACCCCACCCCACGCCACAGGGCCCCCGCGGAGTCCGTGCGCGGTCCGGACCTCGGTTTCCCCCGCCCCCCGCGCTCGCCCCGCCCGCCGCGGGTGGGCTCGGCCGCCAGGTAGGCCGGGCCAGGCGGGGGCGCTCGCCGGGCGCTGCAGCTGGGGGCCGTCTGCGCGCGGCGGGGCGGGCGCACAATAGCGGCCATTGTCTGGGCCCGGCCGGCGGGGCGGGCGCGGCGGTCGGGGGCCGGGCCCCGGGGTGGGGGGATGGGGGAGCCAGCGCGGCCCACCCTCGGGGTGACCCCCGCCCCCCCGGGACGCCGGCCGGGGTCCCGCGCCCGCCCCGCCGCCCCGGTGGTCCCCGCGCCGCCCCGCTTCCTCCGGCTCCCTGGGCTCTAATTAGTTCCTTTCGCAGCTGGAGCAGCAGCGCGGCGCCCGGCAGCGCGACCCCCTCGGCGCCGCCTCCCCGCCCGCCTGCGGCGAGGGGGTCGCGCCCGACCGCTGCCCCGCCGCGGGCTCCGCTGCAGGTTCGGTTCCGAAGCTCGCCCGCGCCCTCGGAGCCGTGCGCGTCACCCTTCGGAGCGGCCCTGGCCTCCTGGGAAACGCGACGCCCGAGTGTCCCCCTCCCGCCCGCCCCAGCCCGCCTGGGTGTCGGGAGCGTCGAATCGGGTGACGGCGTGGCTGGCCTCCGCAGGTTCCAGGCCCTGCCGCTTTCCCCTCTGGGCCTCCGAGGCCCAGGCGAGTGCCACCCTGGCTGTCGCCTTCCCCCCTTCCCCCAGCCCCGGAACAAGGGGAACAAAGAGCAGAGCCCCGCTTCAGAAATGGCCTCTGCAAGCTGGGGGGTGGGGAGTGGAAGGAGACACCTTGAGGTTGGCCAAGGTCAGGACAGGAGAGAGGTCATGGGGTCTTTCCCCTGGTGTGGGGCCACCTTTCGGAGGACAATTCTGGGTGGGGCTGGCCTGGGGTTGGGGGATGCTGAGAGCTTTTGGGGTGGCTGCTTCTCCCTTTGGGGGAGGCCTGGGCCTCAGGACTGTGTTCTGGGTTCTTCCATCGGAATGAATCCCTGCCTCCCTGGGCAGAAGCCAGTGACAGGAAGTGTGTGTGAGGGGGTTCTCTGCTGGGGACTGGGCCTGCTGATTAAGGGGAGTGCTGGAGTCCCCACTCCCACCTGGGTACTGTGCCTGCCCTGTCCCAGGAAACAGGCTCCTCTTGTGGGGCCTTCCTAGTTGCATGTTGAGGCATGTTTCCTGCAGGTCTTCAGCACAAGGTGACCCAGGGTCTAGGGCTCCTCCCTGGACCCCGTCTGGCCAGGGGTGGAGGAGAGTAGGGCAGATGCCAAAGGAAGTTACCTGGACAGTGTTGCCAATCAAAGTGTCAGTTTGAATTCCCAGTTCCCAGACCATCCTGCCCGCATGGTCCCCTTGTCTGGAAGGTCCAGTTGGGAGTGGGGGATGGAGGCTGTGGGGAGGCCTGTGGCCCTAGGCCAGCTGAAGGACCAGGCCACCAGCCCTTCCTGGCTCCTGAATTCTTAATCAGCATAAATATTTACTTCCTTCCTCCCCTTCTAGGCTCCCAGCACAGAGGAGCTTCAGGGAGGTTGGACTGGGCCTGTGTCTAAAAATAAACAGGTGGAGGGACAGGCAGACAGACAGACATTACTGGGAGAGGGGGGTCAGGCAGAGGGCAGCTCCCTGCCCAGCCAGAGGGAGAGTGGAAGGGGCCCAGGTCCATCCATCACTGTCACCCACCCACCTGCCCGCCTTGGGTCTGGAACTCCTGAAGGGCAGGGTGGCAGCCTGATCCCACTTGCATCGCCGGGAGCGCCTGGTCCATGCGTGGCCTGGGGGGCAAATCCAAACAGATCTGACTGCTTCCACCTGATGCAGTTTAACTGGGACAAGTCAGGTCACAGACAGGGTCCCACGACCAAGTGTAGCTGCCCCTCCTTGGGCTCCAATATTTTAGCCATGTGCTGGTAGGGTCTTGGGATGTCCTCGAAGCAGAGGATCCTAACTGAGGTAGGGGACTGCCTCGTTCCCTGTGTGCTTGGAGGGTCTTGGCAGAAGGAGAGCTTGTCAGGGGAGATGGATGGGCCAGGACTTGGGACCAGAGAAAATTGTTTATAATGTTGCTGAGGTGCATGGCCTGGAAAAAAGATGAGTGGGGACATAAGGGCTGTCTTCCTCCTTCCAGCTCCATGAAGCAGCTCTGCATACATGGGAGGCACGTGCGCGTGTACGCGTGTGCGTGCACACATGCACACACAGCTGAGATGTATGATCATTTACCATGTGGTGGTTACAGGGGTGTTCTGTTTTAAATTATGAAAACGTGGATTTGGTGAATGACATGGACTATCTCATGGTGTTGGCTTGTTTATCGGGTAGATTTTCAGGGTGTAATCATCTCAATTAGCAAATGCAAGGATACACTTTGACCACATGTGGAAAGGTTGCCCCTGGAAAAAGTTTGAGTTTGGAATAGTTGACCTTGCTCTTGGGTCATTTGAATGTGAAGAAACTCACACCATTGAGAAGTGTTAAGGAACCATGAAAATACCAGCATGAGAACTTGTAATAAAAGAATATCATCACCACTGAAAAAAAAATGATGTATACATATATTTCATTAACCACCCGAGCTGGTCCACTTCCCTCCAACCCTGTCCCTGGCCGGCCTGGCTGGGCCACAGTCCCCAGCTGCCCCCTGGTGGCAGCCCAGACCCCTCTGACTCCCCGGGCCTATGGGCACCTCTCTTCTGGGCCTCACCTGGGAGGCAAGGCCCCCTGCCTGCACCCCCATCCCTTGGGCCAGGCTCTGCACAGCTCGCCTGAGGCAAGGTCGCAGCCTCCTTCCCTTGCAGGTGACCACAGCTGCCTGGGAAGCCCGACACAGCGAGCCCTTGGTGATCAGGAGCTGAGAACCACTAATGGCTACCTTGGAAGACACTCGTTGCTCTTTTGGTCTGGTTTTGGGTCCTCAGGCTCAAACCAGGCATGTGATCCCGAGCACGACTTTCCACTTGGTCAGAAATGACCTTTGGGACTTGGCTGACCAGTTCCAGGGAGATCTGGCTTTGAAGCTGGTAGCTCTGCCACTTCTTAGCTCTGTGACCTGAGGCAGTGTCTCTAAAACTCAGTTTCATGGCAAAATGGACTCTCTGAGCTTTGCCTCCAGAAAAGACTTGAGGGCAGTGGATGTAGAAGCTCTTAGTAGGTGTTTGGCGCTCCTCATGTGACCCGGGGCCAGAGCCAGAGGGTCCCCCTTCCCAAGGAGACAGCGCTCATGCTGCCGCACATCCTCTCCTGACGGCTTCCGTGGGTGCAGCCTGAGAAGCCTGAGGTCACAGTGTCACAGCACAGCTCCTGTCCTCCCCCAGGTTCCTGCCTGAATACCAGCTTGGGAGCTCCCCACTGCCTGCAGCCACCTCCGACCAGCCCCCCATCACCATGCACTCCTTGGACGAACCGCTCGACCTGAAGCTGAGCATCACCAAGCTCCGTGCGGCGAGAGAAAAGCGGGAGAGGACGCTGAGTGTGGTCCGGCACCGGGCTCTGCACAGGGACCTCGGCCTGGTGGATGACAGCCCCACCCCGGGCTCTCCGGGCTCCCCGCCCTCAGGTACAGCACCCCGGGCAGGGGGGGGGTGGGGGGGTCTCAGGCCCTGATGGAGCCGTGGCAATGGGAAGAACGTCCAAGGTGTGTCCCCGAGGATGTAAGCAAGCCCCTTGCAGCTTTCAGCTTAGAGCTAGAGCTCTGTCCATTTATCCTCCCAGCAGTTTGTCTCTGGAGGTGACCTTGTCCCTGGGGGGAGGCAACTGACCTGCCCCGTTCATGAAGCTGGCCCAGCAGAGCCAGGATTCAAACTAGGCCTCAGGGAGGACATGGAGGCGCTGGTAAGGGGGAGCAGGGGATTCACAAGCGGTGACCGAGGCCCTGTGACCCAACTCCTGGGCTTTGAGGCAGCGTGGCTGGTCAGTCAGGTCCGTGCAGACTGGGGACTGAGCCCAGCAAGTGCCTCTCAGCAGGTGCTTGGGGCTCAGGACTTCCACTCTGCCTCCTCTGGACCCTGAAAACCAGACCCACCATGTCTGAGCTAGAAGGCTCTGGAAGCAGCCTGGCCCAAACCCCTCCTGTTACAGAAGGGCGCAGCGAGGCAGGAAGGGCCCAGGACAAGTCAGAAAGTCAGAAAGGTCCCTACCTGCCAGGGTGACAGCAAGCCAGGAGCCTGGCTTCAAGTTCCTGTTCAGTGGGTACTTTCCACTCCCTGTCTTACCCAACGGCTGAGCTCTCATGGTGGCAAAGATTCCATTTGTCACTTGTACAGGCTGCTGCTCAGATGCTTGGGGTTCCAGAGTGGTCTGGGGGTGTGGCTGGTATCTGTTTTCAGGATTCGGAGGACTCCCAGCTCCAGCACCCCTGAATAGTGCTTCTCCCTTAGGCTTCCTGCTGAACCCCAAGTTCCCTGAGAAGGTAGAGGGACGCTTTTCAGCGGCCCCCCTGGTGGACCTCAGCTTGTCACCGCCGTCTGGGCTGGATTCCCCCAATGGCAGCAGCTCGCTGTCCCCTGAGCGCCAGGGCAACGGGGACCTGCCTGCAGTGCCCACTGCCCCGGTAAGGAGGGAGTGCGGGTTCTGGAAAAGAGGTGTATTGGTTTCCTGGAAAAGACCATAAACTGGGTGGCTTAGAACAACAGAAATGTATTATTCTGTCATAGTTCTGGAAGCGAAAGTCTGAAGTCAAGGTATTGACAGGGCTGTGCTCCCTCCGAAGGCTCTGGGCAAGAATCTTTCCTCACTTCTTTCCAGCTTCTGGTGGCTCCCAGTGTCCCCTGTCTCATAGCAGTGTCATTCCAATCTCTACCCCCGGTGCCACCTTGCCTTCCTGCCTCCATATATCTCTGAGTTCAAATCTCCCTTTCTTTTATGAAGACATCCATCACTGGATTTAGTTCTCCCCAACCCCATATGACTTTTTTTTTTTTAAGGGAGAGAGAGAGCAGGGGTGGGGGCAGAGGGAGAGGGAGAGAATCTTAAAAGCCGGCTCTATGCCCAGCGTGGAGCCGAAGCCGGGTTTGATCTCACGACCCTGAGATCATATCCTGAGCTGAAATCAAGAGTCAGACACTTAGCAGACTGAGCCACCCAGGCACTCCCAGTAAGGCTTCTTAACTTGATTGCATGTGCAGAGACCGTATTTCCAACTAGGGTTACACCCAGAGGTACAGGAAGTTGGGACTGGGATAACTCAACCTGCCACAGGAGGAGACAGAGGGGGTGTGGGCCTCCTGGCCCAGCGGGGAGCACTGACCCACTCTGCCCCCCTGTCCCCCAGGACTTCCAGCCACTGCGCTATCTAGATGGCGTCCCTAGTTCCTTCCAGTTCTTCCTGCCTCTAGGCTCCGGGGGGGCCCTGCACCTGCCTGCTTCCTCCTTCCTCACCGCCCCCAAGGACAAGTGCCTCTCACCAGAGCTCCCCCTGCCCAAACAGCTGGTGTGTCGCTGGGCCAAGGTGAGTGGGGGGCCAGGAACGGGGGGCCAGGGCCGGGGTGGGCGGCCCCACGAAGACTCAGAACCCTCCCCGGCCCCACAGTGTAACCAGCTCTTCGAGCTCCTGCAAGACCTGGTGGATCATGTCAATGACTACCATGTCAAGCCTGAGAAGGACGCAGGGTACTGCTGTCACTGGGAGGGCTGTGCCCGCCATGGCCGAGGCTTCAATGCCAGGTGAGGGAGGGCGGGGGGGGGGCTCGAGGAGGGCGGGGGGGGGGCTCGGGTGTCCGGCGAGCTGCGTCGAGCTCCCCTGTGCCCTCCCTGGAGCAGGTACAAGATGCTCATCCACATCCGCACACACACCAACGAGAAGCCGCACCGCTGCCCCACCTGCAGCAAGAGCTTCTCTCGCCTGGAGAATCTGAAGATCCACAACCGCTCGCACACAGGTGAGCAGCTGGGTGGCGGAGAGGTGAGGGACGCGTCCCTTCTCGAGTGCCACTTCTGGGGGGCACCCCTCACTATCCACTCCTGGAGCATGGACACATCTCCCTGCGTGGCATCAGCACCGCTGTCGTGTGATCGACCGACGGATGCCGCCTGTAAGGCGCGTGCTTGTGCCTCGCTGTGCTCAGCACACGGTGGGGCCAGCTCTGGTGACAGAGCCACACACCTAATTTTAAATTTCCTAATCGCAAAAAAAAAAAAAAAAAAATCCAAATTGCCGCATTAAAGAAAGGACAAAGGAATAGGTGAAATGAATTGTAATACACATTTTCTTGAATCCAATATATTAAAAAGCGATCAGTGAGACGCTGGAATTAATCTTGTGCAAAGTCTGGAATCACAGTCTGGGGAGTATGTTTCCCCTCACTTGCAGCACATGTCAGTGTGGGCCAGCCACACTTCAAAGGTGCACCGAGAGTGGCTACCAGACATTTAGTCAGTCTGGAGGCATTTTGCTGCACCAGGACCAGATACAGCGGAGCGGGCATTCCTGCAGTGCTTACTGTGGGCCCCCTCCCAGCAGGGGCTTCCCGGAAGTATGTAAGCAGATTTGTGGTCCTGCCTGTTGAAGTGGTCGCTGTCATCCCCAATCGAGCACAGGACTGAGGCCAGAGGCACACAGTCAGGCCAGAGCAGAGCAGGGGGTGACCGGGTGGGCTTCTCAGTGGCTGTGCCCCGCTGTCCCCACCTGGGATCAGATCTCGTGCCGGGTGCTGGGAAGACCATCCCCCACATCGGACAGTCCGTGATCGCAGGGGGATCTTGGTCCAGGGTGAGGGGCCTGGGGCGGCCCGGGGTGGGGCTGGGGCTAGGAGCCCGGGCTGCAGAGAGGCCCCTCATGCCCCGCTCCACCCCGCAGGTGAGAAGCCCTATGTCTGCCCCTACGAGGGCTGCAGCAAGCGCTACTCCAACTCAAGCGACCGCTTCAAGCACACACGCACACACTACGTAGACAAGCCCTACTACTGCAAGATGCCCGGCTGCCACAAGCGCTACACAGACCCCAGCTCGCTGCGCAAGCACATCAAGGCCCATGGCCACTTCGTGTCTCACGAGCAGCAAGAGCTCCTGCAACTGCGCCCACCCCCCAAACCACCGCTGCCCACCCCCGACGGCGGCCCCTATGTCAGCGGAGCCCAGATCATCATCCCCAACCCTGCTGCCCTTTTTGGAGGCCCCGGCCTGCCTGGCCTGCCCCTGCCCCTGGCCCCTGGCCCCCTTGACCTCAGTGCCCTGGCCTGCGGCAATGGCGGGGGCGGTGGGGGAGCGGGGGGCATGGGCCCCGGGCTGCCGGGCCCCGTCTTGCCCCTCAATCTGGCCAAGAACCCGCTGCTGCCCTCACCCTTTGGGGCTGGTGGACTGGGCCTGCCTGTGGTCTCCCTCCTCGCTGGCTCCGCTGGCGGCAAGGCCGAGGGGGAGAAGGGGCGTGGGGCAGTGCCAGCCAGGTCTCTGGGCATGGAGGGCCGCAAGACGCCCCTGGAGAGGACTGAGAGCAGCCGCTCCCGGCCAAGCCCTGACGGACTCCCCCTGCTGCCAGGCACCGTGCTGGACCTGTCCACGGGTGTCAACTCAGCAGCCAGCAGCCCAGAGGCACTCGCTCCTGGTTGGGTGGTCATCCCGCCGGGCTCCGTGCTGCTCAAGCCAGCCGTGGTGAACTGAACCCGCCTGCAGGATGGCTACCCGCAGCCCAGCTAGCAGCTCCCGGCCCTGCCCCGACGAACGGAAACTCTTCTGCGAAATAGCAATAATGTCCTCCTGCCCCCGGGGCCCGCCCTGTGTCCCCCAGGCGGACCCAGCCCCAGACAAGCTGGGCAGCAAGGATGGTGCTAGAAGGTCATTGGTGGTGTCCCAGGCTCTGGAGGGGAGCTGGTCCTGCCAGCCAGGGAGAGCCGTGCTCCTGGGTGCTGAGGCCTCACTCACCTCTGGCCCTCCCCCTGCCCTGTCCTCCACCTAGCCCTCAGTAGCCCCCCACCCGCCCTGTGACTCCCTCAACCAGTTGCCAGCCTGGGTAGGGCGCCCTCCCTCCCTGCCTTGCCCACCTGCCAGCCATGTCCCCATCCTGCCTAGCCTCTCTGGGCCCCTGCTCTGGGGGCTTCTTGGACCCCTTTCCCTCTGGCCCACCCTCCAGAGGGAGAGCAAGACAGACGCAGGCAAAGCCACAGGAAGAAGCCACCTTATCCCTATGACAAGGCGCCTCCAAACTCAGAGAGGGAGGCCCGCTCTGCCAGCTGCCCCCCCCCCCCCCCACTAGCCCGTCCAAAAACAGCCAGCACTACCTGAGGGTTGGCCCCTCTCTGGGCCGGATGCTCTCCCAAGTGAGGGGACTGTGACCGCTCACCTGCCCCTTCGCTGCTGGGCCTTCTCCCTCTATTTTCAGGGAGCCCCGGGAGTGTGGGTAGTGGAGCCCTGAGCGAGGAGGGGAGATGCCAGGACCCTGGGCCTTCGCTTGGCTCAGGGAACAGGTGGGGCAGGACCTGGCCTGGGGTGGTGCCACTCTGCACAAGGGACTACGGTGGCTTGCAGGGTGTCATGAGGTGGGAGGCTGGCTGGGGACAACCCCAGGCTGGGACACAGCTCCCATTCTGGGGGTGCCAAGTCACAGCCAGCACACAGGGGAGGGAGGGCTCCAGGCCAGGGCTGGGCATGGGAGCTTTGCAGAGGCCATGGACTGAAAGCCCTGGGCTTGGGGGGTGAAGCAAACAAGGATGGCCGTGGGAGGGCCCAAGCCCTCTGCCTGGGAAGGGGAAGCTGGAGGAAGGAGCCTGGGTTTACGACATGGCTGTTTGCTTTGGCTTTCCCCTGTTGAGCCGGTCCTAGAGGTGTCCCCAACCCCTGCCCACCACCTCCCCCGTGGCACAGGCCGGAATAAGCTAAGAATGCCAGTGTCCACGTGCCCCACCACCCACTGCCCAGTTCCACCAGGCTCTGGGGCCGCAGCATTATGCTTCCCCTCACCCTGAGCCCTCGCTGTTCCCTCCCTGGAGGTGGCCTGGTGCCATTTGGGAGGTGCTGGCCCCCGCAGTCAGGACTCCTGGCGCCTTGGCCACACGACCAAGCACTCCATTTCCCCTGCTGTAAGACAGGGAGCTGCAGGCCAGCAGTGGGGTCGTCAGCAGCCCTGCGGCCTTCACCGTTGCCTGGACTGCCCCTCTTTCCTAGAGGGGTCACCCTGCCTGGGCCTGCCCTGACAGAGCCTGGCGGTGCTGGCTCTGCCCCTTGAAGGGGCTGTGAGCAGAGCAGGAGGGAGCTGGTCTCCTTTCTTCGGGCCCCACCCAGGACCCAGGCCTTAAGTCCCCAGTTGGGGGTGAGGGCTCTGAGACTCAAGCCCAGGGAGCAGAGGAACAGGGCACTGGAAGGCGACATTAGCTCAGCATGTGACTCGGTGATAGACCAAGCTCGGAAGGGCTGGTATATGTGTTGTTGTTGTGGGTTTGTTGTTGCACATTCCAGGATATCAGTATTTTAACAGGTTCTAAGTGCCTTTCTATCGTAGCTTATGTTTTTCCTCCTCTTGGCTCCATTGCTGTTAGCATAGAGTTTAAAAAAGAAAAAAAAGAGATAAGCTAATGACTATAACAATATATTCCTCCATGTGAGAGGAAGTTTATAAAGAAACAATAAAAGTCAGTTGCAAAGATGGTTTCTGTCTTGGCTGTGCCGTGAGCGGAGCCACCCTGCTCGAGAACCCCAACCGTCCTGTGCCTGGTATGGGTTGCCCACCCCCAGAATGCGGCACTCAGAGGCCCTGTTCCAGGGCTTCCTTCCAACCCGGGGGCTGCCACAACTGCCAGGTCTGCTGCTAGGAGGGGGCGGGTGCCAAGGGGGCGGAGATGGAAGATTCTGGACAAAGCATCATGGGTTCAGGTCCTCACCCTGCTACTACCTGCTGTGACTTTCGTGAGTGCCTTTGCTCTGGGGGAGACACAACTCCCTGGCCTCAGTCCAACGAGAGTCTGGCGAAGGCTTCTCTTTCCCGGCCGCACTGGAGCATTCCACCCAGATTCCAGAGATGCTAGAGCGAAACCCAGCTCGGGGAAAGGCAGCCTGTGGCAGAGCTGGGGGCGCAGGGCTCTGTATCCGGTGGGAAGGGTAAGGGAGACCTGAGGACGGTGAGGCTGCAGGAGGGGCCTGGTGTGGGGGCCGTGAGGGCAGGAGTGGCTGCAGCCGGTCCGGGGCAGCTCAGCAGGCAGGGATGGACTGGCTGGCTCCTGGCCAACCTCACCCACCCCAGCCCTGCGGGGTGTCAAGGGCGTGTTAACAGGGATGCAGTGCCGCTGCCGCCCCCTCCCTGCTGGCAGAAGAGAGGCCCACCTGCTGGAATCTGGATGTGTGCACTGAGAAATGCGGAGAAGACATTTATTACCAAACTATAAATTAGAGGAGGTGGGCAGGGTGCAGTAGGACGAGCTGAGTGGTCACGTTTTGGGCATCTGTTCCTTCTCTCTGTTCTCCTGGGCCTGGATCCTGAGCTCCTCCTGCAGGCGCTCCCAGGCTCGGACCACCTGGGGAGGGAGTTAGAACCAGGCAGGGCAGTGAGTAGGATGGGCCTCTGCCCTTCCCAGACTCCGAAGAGCAGTGGGCAGGTCTGAGCTAACAGCCTGGGAAACACAAGTGCCCCCTTTACCAGTGCCCAGCATTCCCAGGGGGACAAGGCCCAGGCACACACCACTGTCCACCAGCTAGTGGTCCTGTTCCCTCAAAGCCATGGCTGCGGGGAGGGCCACTGTCCAGGGTGACACAGGGCCCAGGCCAATTCAGCCCAACCAGCCAGGCCCTGTGAAGCTGAAGGAATGGCAGTTTAGGGGGGCCTCCCTGAGGCTGGGGCACCAAGGACGGGCCCGGCACACCTTCCTGCCTGCCAAGTTCTGAACTGCCTAGGAATGAAGGATCCCCAGTGAGAAGAGGCGCCTTGGCTTGCCCCACTCCCAGCATCAAAGAGCACTCACCTTGGACTGCAGGTAGAAGGAGCCACCCACGGATTTATCGTTCACCTTGAATAGGTGTTCGTAGTTCTGCAGGGGAGGGGAGACGGTGAGAGGGTGTGCGGTCTCGGGGTTACAGAGGCAGGGGAAGCTAGGAAATGACAAAGAAGGAAAGCCAACGGGTTCAACCCTGATGCCCCGTGTGTCCCACTATGCAACCCCGGAAGTCACTGTCACTGCTCGAGGACAGAGAAGTGGACAGGTGCCCACGGGGGGAAGGGGCTCTGTCTCTGCCACCGCTGGCCTCAGGCCTAGAAACGAAGGAGTGACAAGCAGCTCCCACAACTTGGGAGTCCAAGCTGGGTGCAGCCACAGCCTCCACACCTGCCTCTTTCCGCCAGGCCACCCTCACTCCTCCTGATCCTGGTGGCCTGACCCCTCAGCCTGCCATTCTGGTCTGCCCAGGCAAGACCGGTCTTAGAGCCAGCCTGGTAGTCTCACCTTCTGGATCTCCTCGGGGCTCAGCTTGGAGACATTGAGAATCTGCTGGGCCTCCTGGAGGCTGAGGCCAGACAGGTTGGAGGCAGCTGCAGACTGGTGTCCAGCACGTCCTCGAGCATCAGCTGCTGCCCGGCTGGCTGTGTGGATACCGGGGTGAGTGCTCAGCCCTCAGCGGCCCAAAGGTTCCCCTGGGCCTTCCACGTGGGCAGTTCAGCCCACCAGGTGGCATGGGAGAAGACACACGCAGGGACCAGGGGCATCCCTTCTCCAGGAGTGGGTTTTTTGGGGGGACTGGATGGGGAACATATGAAGTGAGGACTGACCCCACTGGAGGACAGGGGCAGGTTCTGGTCCCCAAGACCATGAGATATCCCTCTTCTCTCCCCTACCCCCTCATCCCAAGTGACAGCAAGTTGGGGAGCTTGAGGCTACAATAGGAAGTAGGATGAAGCTATAGGTAGGAAGAGGCAGTAACAGCTCAGTTGAGACCTGGCTGCCCACCAGCTACCTAGGCCACAAAGCAGGTGGTTCAGGTGACCTCTTCCCTTTCAATGGCCCTAGAATCAGGAGCCATTAAGCTTTTTCTTTTTTTAAAGATTTTATTCATTTATTTAATTGACACAGAGAGAGAGACAGCGAGAGAGGGAACACAAGCAGGGTGAGGGGCAGAGGGAGAAGCAGGCTTCCTGCAGAGCAGGGAGCCCAATGCGGGGCTCGATCCCAGGACCCTGAGATCATGACCTGAGCCGAAGGCAGACGCTTAACCGACTGAGCCACCCAGGCGCCCCATTAAGCTTTTTCTTAAAGGGTCAAAGAGTAAATATTTTAGGCTTTGCAGAACAATTAAAGTCTGTGTTGTAATTACTTGACTCTGCCTTGTAAGCAACCAGAGGGTATGGCTGTGTTCCACTAAAACTTTATTTACAAAAACAGGTGGCCAGGTGAACCAGCTTGCCAACTCCTGCCTCCATGTTCATGTCAACCGGCTTCCCTTTCATGAGAATGTCCCGAAGTCCAATGATGTCCCCCACCCCCGGGAAATGCCCCAGGCTGCCAGAGGGTCCCTGCATTCACTATGGGCCCAAGGTGAACGGCCATAGATAGGAAAGGAATCCCCAGCCCAGGGGGAGCCAGGGGCTCAGGCTTACCTGCAAACTCCTGCCGCAGGGCCCGGGCAAAGGCCCTGCCCACCACCTGCACCCCCATCACAATGATCTGGGCCAGGTATTTGGCCTGTGGACAAAGCAGGTACCTGGTTAGCAGGCTGCATTCTCCACAGATGGGACCCTGGAAAAGGCTGCCAAGTGGCCAGGTCTCTGAGGTAATGAAGCACAAGCAGCAGGCACAGGCAGCTCCTTCCAAAGTGCCCTGATAAAGAGCCTCTGCTCCAGGTGGCTTCAGAAGCAATACTATGGCCTAGATCCAGGACTAGGGGCTGGTCCCAGACCATTAACTCACCCTGCCATCCCAGGCCTTCTGTGCTTCTGAGACTGGCAGCTCCCACCTTTGTTCAACCAGCAGGGAAACTCAGGGAGCCTGGAGCCACCTCAATTCTCCCAAGATTATTCACCACCATTCCAATCAACACAACAGAAGTGAACAAGACTCTCCACCTTCAGGCAGCAAAAAGCCCAGTAGGGCGTCATTCAGACAAAGATACCAAGGGCCAACTGCTGAGGGAGAGCAGGATTGGCCACCAGTTCCTCCACTGGTTCAAACACATGCAGAGTCAGCTAAGCTCTGCTCAGCACCCAGCCTACAAGGATACACAGAAGCCAGCCATGCCCTCAGAGCTCCTCACACTGACCTGGCCCGGCAGGGAAAGGGTCTACAGTGGCGCAGCACGGTTTTCTATCCCGAGACGACGTAGTTCAATGCACCACGGAGTGACAGAGTCTCATGAAGCATGCCCAGGAGTGAAGAAAGGCAATGGAGGGAAGCCTCAGTATGAGATGGAAACTCTGGGAAAAGATATTTCTACTGGGCTGGATTTTGAGGGCAGGCAGAATCACAATGGGAGTACTGGGGATTTCTAGGCACAGGGACCACGGCGAGTCCAAGAGGAGAAAGTGTAAAGGTTGTCCTGGGAGCAGCCAAAAGCACAGGGGACTTGTAAAGTCATTAGAGATAAGACTGAGAAGGTGGCTGAGATAGGAAACTGTACAGACCCGACTGGGAACAGAGATTACATACTGACAGCACATATGGAAATGGCCTGGTGCGTGCAATGGTACAAATGAGGGTGTGCAGAGGACCTGGAGAGCACTCACTGCAGGTCGACACTGCTCACAGGCACAACCCAGTGGTTTCCCTTTCTCTTCTTTGCTCTTGTTTGTTGTTAGATGTTCCATCAGTCAATAAGTATCAACTGAGCCTGGGTGCCAGTCACTGTGCCAATCACATTCTAGTTACTGTGCCATTTAACCCAAAAACTCAAGACACCAAGGCACAGGGAGGTTTAATGATCAGCCTGAGGACAGGGCTAGTACTCAAGGGGAAGGTGGGCAGGAAACCCCAAATCGGTGCTATTAGCCATGGCATCTCCAGGCTGCCCACCCCACACAGGATCCTGCAGGGAGGGCAACTGAGCAACCTGACAAGGATCAAGGACCCAACCCAGAGGCCAAAGAAGGGCTCGTCAGATTCCAGCGGAATCCGGACTCCAGAACTGGCCTGGTTTGGCTTCCAATGAACCTGCCCTTATGGGCAGGGTGGGATGTTTGTTCTAGGACATTAGCAGTAATTAATAAATGGAAGTGGGTTTGGATTTCACAAGTAAGTAGAAATTTCATTAAGTCCTGGATTTCACACCAGAAAGCAAAGCTCAGTGAAGACTGGCCCCAGTGATCAAAGGGATGGGGCGGGGCTGCAGCCAGCTGTGCTGTGGGTGTCAAGACAAATAATGGATGTACTGCAGGTCAGGAAGTTGCCCAACTTCCCCCTCCGTGCCCAAAGCCCCTCCCAAGTGGGACAGGAGGTTTCCAAATGGGGTGCTGGTCTTGTGTGAGGTACGGAGAGGCTTACAGGCCAGTAGGTGATTTCAGAGGGTTCCGCGGGCCTGCACACCCTTCGGGCCTCAGACCATCTGTGCATCTGCTGCCACACACCCGAGGGCGGCCCCACTGCTCTGCCCTTCCTGCCCATGGACTTCTCACCAGCGCTGGCTGCTGCTCAGTAATGAACATTAAGAATGGAGAGTGTAACTGCGCAGCGCCCCCAGCCACTGCTGCAGGCTTCAAACCACCGTGGCCTGGTGGCCCGTCATTCCCACCGCCAGAGCTCCATGGCTGCCCCACAGGCTGGAGTAGCCTGCGGTTTCAAAGGCCACCCCGGATGGCCAAGGGAGCTGCCTGGCTGGTCCACAAAGGTTCCTGTCGGAGGCCTCTCCAGGGAAGGAAGTATGGCGTGTGGTCATACAGGCGAGCTTTGGGATCACCTGTGTGCGAATCCCAGCTGCGCGCCTGGCTCAAGCTCTCAGGTTCCCTCAGCCTGTTCCCTCACCTGTGAAATGTGGCCAACAATAGGACTGTCAGGGATTCGATGAGATAATGCTTGCAAAATGCTCGACACAAAACCTGATGATACAGTCGGTGCTCAATAAATGTTGCTTTTCATTTATTACACGTCTTTGTTTCACAAAGCTTGACAACGGTCAGACACTATGGAGTAACAGAGCTTTTCCCAAAAAGGCAACTCATCTGACATATCCGCTGATTCCTCAGGGGAGAAGCCTGCAAAAAGCCAGGTGACATGCCAAGGGCAGTGAGAAGCAGTGTGGAAGAGGAGGGAGAGGACTGCTTTGGAGCTATAATCTGGACTCCTGGCTTGTCTTCTTGTTAGCTGTGTGGCCCTGAGCAAATAATTCAACCTCTCTGAACCTCACTTTTCTTATCTGCAAAACAGGGAAAACAGTATCTTCCTCTTGGGGGGCTGCAAAGTCCTCAGGAGGCAATCCACATAAAACCAACCGGGCAGTCAGCAGCAGGTTCAAAGTGGCCCAACAGTTGCCTTTGCTTCTGGACCAGATCCTGCTTGTCTAGAGATCATCCACCTATTCAGTACCCAGTGCCACGTGTGGATCAGCTATGCTCAGAGTTCTGCCAGTGACAAGAAGTGATGAAGACAGCCACTGGCTGAGGCATCTCCTAGAAAGTCCCAAAACATTCCATAGTCCACTGACTGACACTTGGGCCTGAAGACCCTAGACAAGAACAACGGCATCCAACTCAGGCCAAGCTGCCAGTCAAGGAGCAGAGGTCAGAGCCACAGACCGCCAAGCCTGGGACCCATTGTGGATGACACACAGGCTTTCTTATCTGAGGACCAAAGCTCTGCAGCTGGGGCAGAAGAGCACAGGCAAGCATTAGGGGACACTCAGGAACGTGGCTTATCTCATGTTAAGCGCATCAAGAAAGGAACCTGCTTTCAGACAGACCCATGTGTAATGTTCCCTTCAAAGCCCAGTTCCAGGCTCTTGGGTCGGTGGGCAGAGACTGCCACTGAGACTAACCCCCTTCTCAAGGAGGCGCTGAGATAGGAGGGGGGCTTTGTTCACCCAGAGCCCCTGCAAACAGCCGCTGGCATCACAACGAGGCAGGAGGGCAGTCAGGATCATGGTATGCCTGGGGGCCCCGCCTATGGCTGGCATGGGAGCCCGACTGGTATTTGAATGAATGTGACAACCAGGTCACCATCTGCAAAAACTCTATGCTCCCAGACAGGGTTTCCAAATTCCTGTTGCTACCGCTCCCTCTGCTGGAGGGCTTCGGCCATCCCCCAACACACACAACTCTCCACTGCCTGCAAAATCAGTCCACTTCTCGGCCTGACATTCTCAGCTCTGTCTGGCTACAAACGACTTCTCTGGTTTTCTCTCCCCTCACCTCTCTCCGCCCTGCAGCCCTATCATCTACTTCTAAATCAGCTAACTCTCTTACTTGTTTTACCCCAATGTCTCCCAATTCACACACCATACAGGTCACTCTTCTCAAGTATTCAGTGATTTTAGCGTATTCACAAACTCTGTAAATACACTAAAAAGTACAGAATATTACTAGTTCCAGAACGTTTTCATCACCCCCCCAAAACGATACCCATTAACCTTGAATGTCCTCCCTACTACTCTGATGCTCTGTCAAAACCCAACATCCTTCAAAACGGTACCGCTCCCCACCCCAGTGAAACTTTTCTAGAACACTATCTTTTCCTATTAATATGCTGTCCTATTTTACAGACTTGCCCGATTCTTCCTTTAGGATACAAACTCCTCCAGAGCAGCATTTTACTTGGCTCTTGAGGGTGGCTCAGAGTTACACACAGGAATGCATGAGAGGGACCCGGTTCAAGGGTTCATTGTAGGTCCTCAAAAAAACGGCAGCGACCGGACTCAACTTGTCTCTGAAACCACTGAAGTGACCCTGAAGGAATCAAACTCCCCGAAATTCAGGGTCCTTCTCAGTGAAATGGGGACAAGGACAGTACGAATTTCTTAAGCATTAAGTGAAAAAATCCACTAAGCCCTCAGCTCAGGGCCTGGCACTTGCAAGCTGTTACGTTATCCTTATCATTGGTTAAGAAGTGGCTCCCCAAACCGACTGCCTCAATCACTTGGGGGAACTTCTAGAATCTCCGGGGATAGAGCTCAGGACACTGCATTTTTTAAAGGGTCCCCAAGTGACTTGTTGCAGCCAGTGTGGCCCAGGTCTGTGGACCGGCTCCAGGTGCCAATGGTACCGCAGAAACGCTCAGCTTTCGGTGTCGCGGGGCCTGGTCAAGCCCCAGGTGTGCTACTTCCTTGGCAAAGTCTCGCAGCCCGTTTCGTCAGCTTTCAAAACGGAGAATAACAGGCGACACCATCAACTAGCTGCGGGCCCGCGCAGGGGCTCCCGGGCCGGCCCTCGCCTCCCGCGGGGGCTGTGCGCACATGGCGACCGCCTCTGCCGCGTATTTTCCGGCCGGCTACGCCCGCCCTGCCTTCCGGTCAAGCGGTTCTCCGTGGCCCCGGGGCCGACAGCGCCCGCCGCAGTCCTCCCGGCGCGACGCCCCGGGACCCCGCTTCCCGCCGGGCACGCAGGCGGTGCGCGGCGCCCGCAGCCCGGCCGGAGCTCGCCGCCCCGGCCCCGAAACGGCCTCCCTTCCTCCCAGCAGCGCCCTACCCGGGGCTCACCATGGTGGCCGCTCCGCCCCGGGGTCGCGGGCTCCGGCTTCCTGGCCCCGCCGCTCCAACTAAAGGGCGGCCGGCGGGTCAGAGGTCAAGGGAGAGAGCGCGTGCGTGACGCCGCGCTAGGCATGCGCACTGTTCCCTCCAGGGGGCGGGGTGTCGTGATGTAATCAGTGGGCGGGGTCAGAGGCGGAGTCGGCCTCTGGTCGACAGGACCCAAGGTGTCCCTCACGTTTGTCCTGCTGCGCTAGATGCAACAGAATAAATGCATCTGTCAAATGCGGGGCAATTTCTTCCCTTCATTTTGCCAAAATATTTGGTACTAAAAGATATGTAATAAACCTACAACACCCCACGAACATGAGTAGGATGCCAAAGTCTCAAAAATATGTAAGAAAACAGGAAACCTCAAAACGGGTTTCCTTCTAGGTTCCTTCTGCCTGGGAAGATCTCACACTCTCCTCCAAGTTCTTGCTCAAGTATCACCTTCTCAATGAGGCCCACCCTGCTCTCCTACCAATGCTGCAACTTGCCCTGTATTCTTTTGTTTTAGTAACAGCTTTGAGATAAAGTTCACTATCTTAAAGTGCACAATTCAGTGTTTAGTGTATTTACAGAGTTGTGCAACCATCACCACTAGAACACCAGAACATTTTCATCAACCCCCCAAAAACCTCCCTACCCATTAACAATCACTGCCCCTCCCCCAGCTCCTGGTGACCACTAAGCTTTTGTCTGTTCCTTTTTTTTTTTTAGATTTTATTTATTTATTTGACAGAGAGCCAGAGAGCACAAGTGAGGGGAAGGAACGGCAGAGGGAGAGGGAGAAGCACGCTCCCCAATGAGCAAAAAGCCTGATGCAGGACTTGATCCCAGGACCCTGGGATCATGACCTGAGTCGAAGGCAGCCGCTTAACCGACGGAGCCATCCAGGCGCCCCTGGATTAGTCTGTTCCGAACAGCTCATGAAAGTGGAATTGTACTGTATGTGGCTTTTTTGTATGTCTGGCTCTCAGTCCCTTCTATTTCTTCCCCCCAGAGTTCTTATCACCTTCTGCCATATTATTTTAATTCATTTATTTTATGTTCATTGTTTATAACCTGTTCCTTTCCACTAGAATGTGGATTCCTGGTGGACAGGACTTTGCTTTTTTCTCCACTCTTGGACAGGTGGCTGGCACAGGGAAGATACTCGACATGTGATTGCTGAGTGAATGTTAAGTCAGGCTGCCTTGGACTATGTTTTGGACCACTGCCCTTTCCTCCAACACTCCAAATTCTTTCTTCCCTCAGTGCAGTGGCCGCCCTTCCTTTTGTCTGAAATGTTCTTCTTGCGGCTCTGTGGCCTTCAGGTCTCAGCTCTCATCTTAAAGGTCGCCCCTCAGACTAAACACCCTGCTCTCCCTGCATCTCAGCTGCTCCCTTTTCACATAATTTGTCATCTTTTTTTAATTAAGTAATCTCATCGCTTCTCGGCCTTTTGGCTAAGATCAAGTGTAATTAAGTAATCTCTATGCCCAACATGGGGCATGCTGAACTTACTACCCTGAGATCAAGAGTTGCATGCGCTACCAGCTGAACAAGACAGGTGCCCCTATTTTGTCTTCTTTACAGCTTTCTTCACGGTTTGCTTACTTGCACACGGTCTGGCTCCCCGGCACAGGAAGACTATAACAAGTGCCTCAAGAGGCCTTGTCTCTCCTGTTCATTACTGTGTCTACCATCCAGAGCACTGTCTCTGTGCTGGATGAATGAATGAACTCATAGCAGCTGAAGAGGACTCAGGAGTGAAGTGAGACCTGGGACAAGGGGGAACCAGAGCCAAAATGCCCTCACCCATCCTCCTGTCCCCTTCCCCTTCCAGTCAGCCAAAAGACCATAGCAGCACAAGAGGTGGCCAGCTTAGAAAAGTTTAATTGCTGAAAACATCAGGGTATATGCAGGCCAGTCCCTGAGGGGTTCACACCCCCCTTGATTGGGCCATCAGCTCTGTACCGCCCCCTTCTACTGGTTTCAGACCTGAGGAGGAGGGCAGCTGGTCCCTGGCCCCTGAGGCTGACGCTGCTCCAGATGGCCTGGCAGGGGGCCAGCCCCCAAGGCTCTTGACTGGAAGTGGGCCAGCAGGCAAGATGGGATGGCGTGTAACAACTGAAGGTGCTGGGCGAAGCCAGCCCAGGCTGGGACTAGCCCAGGGGCGTGCTACTGACCCCACTCCCACCCCACCCCACCCCACCGCCACGCCCCTGGTTCCACATGCTAGCAGGCAGCGGAGAAGCAGCCAGTCCCACAGAAAGCAGAGGTGCAGACAATCCACAGGAGTTGCAGCGGGGCCCAGAGGCCACAGAAGTGCCCAAGGCCCAGAGGAAGCCAGGGCTTTTGGGATAAGGTGTGCCAGGACCAGGAGGCATCTTCCAGTTTGAGGGTGAGAAGTGAGGTGTGCAGGGGGCACCACACCAGGTGGTTCTAGGAGGTGGCAGCGGCCGGTGAGGCTAGAGGTAGTGGTGGGCAGGCTAGTCCTGGGGAGATAAACCGAGGGGGATGAGAGGTCTGGGGAAGCAGGGTGACGTGGGCTACAGGGTGAGGGAGGGAGGGAGGGAGGGGATGCCAGGGCCCTCTTATCTACTCACCCACTCGTCCTCGTCCACACCTTCAAAGGAGTCCTGGGGGAGCGGGTCCTCCCGGTTCCCCAGCTTGGCCACCATGGCATTTAGCAGCTAGGAGAGTGGACAGGAGAAGAGGTGGGAAGGCAATAGGATAGGACTTCTAAGCCCAGGACCACAGGACCTCACAGTTTGAACCCCGTCATGCTTGTGAAGAGCCATGTTCATCAGAGCCCTGACAAAGTGGATGGTTTTCACAGGAAGAGCCACTCAGCAGAGATCAGGGCTCCCGAGGCAGACGGACACGCAGCACTGGAGTCACAGGGCAGCTGTCTCCGCACATTGCCTCAGACGCTCAAATGTGCGCCAGGGTCAAAACGCACTTGGGTCCCAAACCCTTGGCTCTGTTTGCATTGGGCCAGGCGGGAGGGAGGCCTCTTTCTGCCCTTCCCTGGCTTCCTGAGTCCTGTGCCCCATTGGTCAGCTTCAGGGCTCTGGAAGGTCTCCCCAACAAGCTGCCCAACCGAGAGAGGGGAGGGGAGACCCTGGCTCCTACCCCAGCCTGGCTTGGACTAGAGAACTGGAGGGCAATCACCATGTGCCGCCAGGACCCTGTGCATGCCACAGTGACCAACCGCCTCCCGGGCCTACCTCCTCCTTCTTTTGCTGGTCTGACTTCTCTTCCAGGTAGAGTGCTGAGGGTGGGACCCGTCGGGCAGGGGCTTCACGGGGGGCCTGGCTTACTGGGGTGGGGGAGCGACAGCATCGGACATCAGCGAATCCCCCCAGTGTGGACTCCTTGCCCAACCCTTTGGCACCATTCCCGAGGGAATCTTGTGGCAGAGACCCCAGAGGGGGTGACAACAGCTACTCCACCCTCTGTTCACAAGGCCTGTCATGGGCACCCAGCAGTGTGCGCGCACACATGCGTGCATGTCAGGGGTGGGAAATGTGGTGGAAACACAGACCCTGGGCCCTGCCCTCAAAAGGCTCAGAATCTGAGCCTGGAAATGCAAATCCTCGGGAGTGCCGGAGGTTTCTGTGTGCCAGCAGGAACGGGGGATCTTGCCCCTTTCTCCAATCCCTACCCACTCCCGGGCTTCCTACTCACCACCCCCCAGTTCCTCATCCTACCTGGGGTCATGCCGGCAGGCTGCAGGCTGATAAGCCGGGGCTGCCCATTAGCACCTCCCAGCCAGGCGCTGGCACTGAGCACCGGCTCCCAGCTCAAGGCTGTGTCTGGGAAAACATCATCCTGGAAGAACTCTTTCTGTAGGGAAGGAGAAAGGAGCTACCCTGAGGCACCTACCAGAGGCCCAGGGCACACCAGCATCCCTTGGGAAGGGGGTAAGGTAAGACCCAGGACCCAGGGCTGGGGTTTCTGCCAGTTTCAGAATCTCAGCAGAGTAAGGGGTACAGGTGCCCCAAAGAGCACTGAAATGGGACCGTTTGGTGACAGGGTCAGCCAGGCCCCAAAGCCCCTGATGGGGGCTGGGAAGGGAGACTAGGTGTTTGGGGTGCTGGGCCCCCAACCTCACCCTGACTCGGGGTAGCCGGAAGGCGACAGGCTCCAGGGAGGTCTGGCGAAGCCGTAGGCATCGGGCAAACTCTACTTCCCGCACGTCACACTCTGTCTTGGGCAAGAGGATGAAGCCCTGGGGAGAACAGGGGATTCTGAGCTGACACCTGGGCCCTCACGGAGCGCCAGAACTACGGCGTGTCCCTGAACCGTGGAGCTCTCTGGAGGAAAGATGCCCTGATCGGTAGCCCTGATTATAGCCTCTTTCTATGGAGATTTCATGCTACCAACATAACTTGTTCAATGCAGAGCTGGGGAGATGCGTGTGGCAGCACCATAGAACATTTCCACTGATGGATCCCATGGATATAAGAGGTAAGCTCGACAGCACAAATAACAGTATTATCAGCTAAAATAATTAAGAAGTGATACCCTGGATGTTTACTGCCCTGGCTCTTAATATAATTTATTTGTAGGCTCATATAACTTAAGACTTTACGGTTTAATTTTTAATAATGGAGTTTAACATGGGCACACCCTGGCCCAGTGACCTGCTGACTCCACAGGCCCCTGCACTTCCCCATCTGGCCAGGAGAGGGCGTGGGAGCCCTGTTCCCACACATCAAGGAGGACCAGGGAGCAACCCCGGGCTCACCTTGTGGGGATCCGGGGACGTGAAGCTATTGCACTCTAGGAAGAAAGGAGCCTCAGGGAGCAGCTCGTACAGGAACACGCGGGTGTCACCCTGAGACGGGAGTGGTGAGAGTGAGGCGGCCAGCTAAAGCTGCCTTCCTCCCCACCTCCCCACATGCACACCCCAGCCCACCTTGCCCGTGAGTAGCACCAGGCTGGTGTCTGGGTCATAGCTGGGAAGCAGGGTCGAGGGAGCCACGTCCAGCCCCAGCACTGCCAAAGGACCACCGGCCAGGGCCTCGGTGGGGTATAGGAGTAGCTGACGCTCACTTCGGCTGCAAGGGAGATCCAGGGAGAAGCAGGTTCTTAGAGCTGCAGGGGCCTGGGTTAGGGCAAGGACTCCAGCAAGCATCCTGGCCTTGTCAGGCTGGGGGCCCTGAGGGCTTCGGAGCTGAAGAGTGCCTCTGTCCATTCTGATCCAGCTCTCAGAACTACCGGCCCTGTATCATGCAACATCCTCATCCCCGACTACTACTCAGTCTGCTGCCCCTGACCCTCCTCAGCACAGTCCTAACACCAGCACTGGTCTCGTGGCCAGGACTGTGACCTGTAGTCTGGACTTATCTCCCCACACTCTGCTTCTCATCCTCTGCTCCAGCCAGGCTGGTCAGCTTCCGGGCCTTTCCATCCAGACTTGAATGCCCTCTCCTCTGCGTTTCTAGTTACTAGTTCCTTTGTGACTCAGTTCAGATGACATCTCCCTTAGGAGGCCCTTCCTGATCCTTCCTCCAAAGTGCCAAATACCCAACCCTTGGACCTCTCCAGTAGGCTTGGTTGTTTCATGCTCTTTACCTGGTCCCCAGCAGGCATGGGCTCCAGGCAGCAGGGCGTGGCTCTCATCCCTCTGGTTCCCAGTTGACTCATTCTTCCTCCTCACCTCCCTCCCTCCCATCCATCTACCAACCTACCCACCAACCCACCACCCATGCACCCACCCACCCATGCATGCATGCATGCATCCAGCCATCCATCCAATTAGTGAGTAGCCGGGACAGCTTCTGATGCCTAACAGGTGTATGTGTGTCTGGGGAAGGAGGACACAACTAGCTGCTTAAGTATGGAGATGGGGATGGTGGTCACCGAGTCCTTACCTGTCAAAACCAGACACCAGCAGACAGTGACCATCACAGACCCAGACAACACGGGCTCCACGGGCCCCCTCAGGCCCTGGGCCTTCCTGTTGGGATACAGCACGTGAGGCCCAACAGCCATCCCTCAGGTGGGTCTGGAGGCCGCCCCCAGTGCATCCTGCTCACCTGCAGGGGCTCAGGGCCATCCCGGGGCTCATAGACCCGCAAGTACCCATCCCTGCAGACAGTGGCCAGATGCCGTCCATCAGGACTCCAAGCCAGGCTGAAGATCTGGAGGCGGGTGCAGATAGATATGAGAGGCAGCCTCCGGGCCTGCGGCTGGGTCCCTGCCCCCACACATGTACTACCTGGTCCCGGTGGCCCTGCAGCCTCAGCCGCTCGGCTCTGGCCTGAAGGTCCCAGATCCGAATGGTAAGGTCATAGGAAGAGGAGGCCAGCACGTCGGCTGCCAGTGGGTGGAAGCGCAGAGAGTAGATCTTCTCTGTGTGGCCTTGGGGTGAGGCATGGGGTAGTGTTGAGCCCCTCAGGAGTCACCGCCCGTCTCCCAGCTCCCACCCTGGGCCCAACTGACCTGTGAGCACAGCCTCAGGTGTTGTGAGCACCTCCTGCAGGCCCTCTGGGGGCACCCGCCACAGTCGGATCCTGGCATCCTCCCCACCTGCAGAGTGCAGGCTCATCACTACTGTGCCCGAGACCTCCGGGCTCCCCCTACCTGTATTAAGACCCCTGGGCCCTCCCGTGAACCTAGCGCCCAGCCTCCTTACCAACAGCAAGGCGGTAGGGGTCAAAGGGGTCCCAAGCCAGATCCGTCACAGCTGCCCCATTCTGCAGCGTGGGCAGTGCTGTGTCGGGCAGGCGGCCAGGCTTCTGTAGCTGTGGGAGGCATCATCCGGCAGAGGCCCATCAGTAACAGGCAGGACAGCTCAGTCCCCAGGGTCTGCATGGCAAGCAGCGTGCCTGGGCTCCCACCCTCTGCAGCTGATGCCCCACTGCTGGGAGGCCCAAGCTCTCTGTCTGCCTCAGCCATCTTGTGCTCTAAGCCCCAAGTGCCAACTGTGAAGTCCCAGAAAGTGGGGGGGGGGGGGGGAGGCAGCATGGAGTGGTGGAAAGAGCTCAGGCTTGAGGCCCAGGCAGCCTGGGTTCAAACCCCAGCTCTACCACTTACACGGCTGTGTGACCCGACAGGTCACTAAACCTCTCTGTGCCTCACTGCTCTCTTCCATCTGTAAAACGGGGATAAGAGTGGTGTCCCTGTGGGACAGTGGAGGAGATTAAAGGGGATGCCAGGTGGGTGCCTGGAACATGGTCTGTGCTCAGAGAGTGTGAGCTGGTGTGGGTACCCAATGCCCTTAGCTTCCTGCAGGGCCCTGGGGGCACTGTGGTGGGTAGGGTCCCTCACCTCAAGCACAGCCACCTGCCCACCATTGCTGAGCAAGGGCACGGCCACGCGTAGCTGGTTGGCACAGAATCCGTCACTCTCGCCAGGCGTGGTGAGGTTGAGTCCCTTGAGGTTGGTGATGTGGTTGTCTCGGTGCAGGACGGCGCCCTGAGCATGGCGGAACTTGGAACTGGGGCCTGGCGGGCAGCAGGGACAGAGCCACATGCGGATGCCCTGCCTGCCCGCCCGCCCTAAGTCCAGGCTGCCTGCTCCCCTCACTGCAGGGTGCACGGCCCGTGCCCCGGCCTCTGCCAATACAACTCACCCAGAACTACGCCCACAACTACGCCTGGGAAGGGGACTTGCAAGGCCAGGGCTCCAGGGAACATCCAGGCTGCCCTCTTACTTGAGACTCACCTCATCCCACAAGGACAGGTGACCCCACTGGGAGGGGCAGTGGACAGAGACAGGGTTAGTGTGACGCACTTACCCAGCAGGCTCTGTAGGGACCTCTGGCTGGGGCTGGTGCTGATGCCACTGGTGCTAGAGAGGGAGGGCCCCAGGCTGGAGGGCGTGGAGGGCGAGGTCAGCGAGCTGAGAGGGGAGGAGAAGCCCTCCTGGGGGAGAAGCACCCTGGGTCAGACAGCAGGCCCCTGGGCGTGTTGGCCAAAGAGAGAGGGGGCACTGGGGTCATCACTCTGGGCCCCTCCTCCCGGGCTGTGGGACACCGTGGGGGCAGGAAGCCCCGCTGTGGGGCGTTGGGTGAAAACACGAACACCGAAGCGGACAAGGGCTGGAGGTAGCACAGGGCGAGCTCAGCTTCAGACTGTGGGGACAGAGGGTGGCAGCTACCAGCTCCTAGCTTTGTAGGAGGACAGGCCCAGTTCGGTTAAGATCTGCCAGGATTTTAAGAGAAGCCAGAAGTCTGGATTTTTCTGTGAAAGTCTTGCTTTTCGTGTGTTTGCTCAATTTAGAGAACAGTGCGAAGTTATTTATGCTTCACGTGTTTCTCTCTGTTGCGCCTGACAGCTAAAAAAGGCTCAAAGACCAACAGGCGGGCAAACGCACTTGCCCGATTTGACTCAGGGCACCCACTGCGGCAGCATGATGGGGAGGACGGGTGGTCGGCCCAGGCACTTACGCTGGGGTCCGCATCACCCACAGGCGTCTCTGCAGGCGGGGCTGCTGCTGGCGGGGCTGCATCGGGGGAGGGCTCCGCGGGGGGCACCAGGCAGGAAGTGAAGCTGGGGTAGGGCCGGTGAGCTGGGTGGAGGCTAACCTTCTGCACCTGTGGGAAGACGCTGGTGTTTGAGGCAGGGCGGATAGGTGTTTGAGGCTGCGTTAGCATACAGCTGGACTGCAGGGCGGTGCGGGGGGGGGGGGGGGGGGGCGCTGGGAGTGGCCAGCCAGGCCGTGGCCCTACCTGCTGGTTGCTCCCAGCCCACCAGGCATGGGGGTCGGAGACAGGCACGCAGCCTGCCGTGTCTGGGAACAGGTCCTCATGGAACTCCACAGCCTGGTGGCAGACAGGTACGTGGCCAGGGAGGTCCAGGACCCCCAAGGCCCTCCTAGCCCCTCACCCAGGGCCCCCCTCACCTTGCGAGGCACATGGTAGCTGACAGGCACGATGGCCGCATCGCTCAACTGCAGGACGCGGAGCACCTCGCAGCCCATGACGGCCAGCGCCCGCCGGGGCACGAGAGCCACCCCGCGCAGCACGCTCTCCAGGAGGCACTGGGTCACTGTGGGGGGGACACCACATGAAGACGGTCAGGGAGGGTGGGAGAGAGGAGGGGGAGGACGGAGGAGAACAGGGCTTACCTTGGCTCAGTGTGAGCTGCTGGGGGGCCACCTCGTAGCAGTACAACTGACTCTCCCCCTGAAACAAGCCCAGCCTGAGCGCCACTCACGGTCACTCCCCCCGCACCCACCCCAGCTCTGCCCCCTGTACTCTGGGCTGTATCCGCGGTGGGCTTCACTGTGCACGATGTAAGAACAGGGCATGATCAGGATTTACAGAGTGCCTGCCATGGGCTAACCCTGCTTGATTGTTGGCCTTGTCCACAAAGCTGACATTCCTGGGAGTTACAGTCATGCCGACCCGAAGGCCACTCAGCCTGGCAGGGGTGCAGCCCGAGTCGCACTGCTTAGGCTTCTTTCTGGGGTGGACGGCACCCTGCTGTCCTCAGTCTCCCAGCTGGCTGGCTAGGTCAAAGGATGGGACAGAGCTGGCACGTGAGGGCACTACCCTGGGGGGACGGGGTGCTGACATGGACAGGCACTCCAGCGTCTTGCTCACCTTTCCTGCCAGGATCAGGAGCCCGGAGTCTGGGTCCAGCAGGGGCAGCAGAGACCTGAGGGAGAGAGAGGGCTAGCTGACGGGATGAGGCCAGCCTCTGTGCCTGAGGGCAGCTGGAGAGCTCTCAGCCTCGTGACTCCAGACGGGGGCTCAGGCCAAGCACCACGCTAGCCAGGAGGGATGCAGCCCCTCTACCTGCATCCAGCCTGTCCCCTGGGACCCTCCACCTTCTCTCTCCCTGTGCTACCAACACGCCGACAGCGAGCACATTCCCATGTCCCAGCCTTTCTTGCCCTGGGTCCTCCATCTGCCCACCTGCTTCACTTAGGATTCGTATGGACCCTGGGCATAGGGGAGCAGGCCCCTCTTTCTACACCTCAGTACCAAGCTCCATCCCAGGCTCACCAGCTCCAGAAAGACTCCACATATACTCTGTCCCTGGTCCCACCTTGGCCAGCCTAGGCATCAGGCCAGAGTTACCAGGGAAGATGAGTGGGCGTGCAGGAACCAGGGACTCCCTCCATCCCTGCCCAGTGCAGTTGGCCTGGGTGCTCCAGGTCTGCACTAAGGTTCGGGGACCCCCTCCTCGGTTACCCCAGGCTCCTGGTGACATCTTAGAGACTCAGAACCCCTCTCAGCATGACTTTAAAACTAAGGCAGGGGCTGGGACCAGGGCCTCCTTCACCACAGTGCTTCCCTGCCCTCCCCATTCTCCATCCCCCCCCTGCTCCCAAGGTGGGGCTTTGGGTGGGGGGCAGTGGCTGGGAACATAGAGGGCAGGCTGGAAGCCCCCAGCACCCCTGCTGCTCTATGCCAGGCTCCCCTGGGCCGATGGCCTGTCACTGTCCAGGAGAACTCTGACAGGTGCCTTCATCCGTTTGTTTCTTCTCCTGGTCTTGGTTTCACGTCCCTAGGAACCCAAGGGCCTGGACCCTCACCCCAATGCTGACACTCGCCCTCAAACAGAGTCCCTTCCTCACTGTGGTTCCAGTGGTTGCCCAGCTGCAGCAGCTGCATCTATCCCTCACCCAGGCAACAGAGGGCCCGGCCCTCCCCTTTGCCTGCCTGTCCATTCCCTCCTGGCTAGCTGCCCAAAGCCCGCTTGCTGCCCACCTCCACTCCCTACCCTACTGGGAGCCACAGAGTGGGCTGGGGAGCTGGGTGGGGCCCTGGGTGTCTCCACAGTTTCCTGGAGTACTCTGGGCCGGTCACCTGTGAGTAACAAGGGCTCTAATTACCTTGGGCTGGCAGGGTGAGCTGGGCTCAGAACTGCCTTCTTGACCTGATCTGACTAGTGCCTTCTGTGGGGGAGCAGACGGGCAGGGGGACAAGGTGGGCGTGGGACCTGGGGCACCCCCCACACTGATGCTGGCTCCACTGGGGCTAGAACCAGGTCCCTTCAGCGGCTCTAACAGGACTTTCATTCACTCACTCATTCACTCCCAACCATTCATTCCTCGGCCGAGCTGATCTATGCCCAGCCCTTGGCTCAGCCTGCAGTTGTGATTGGAGGTGAGTGCAACAGACCCCACCTCTGTCCTCAGGTTGCTCATGGCTTGCCTGAGAGGCAGACACACTCCACCGCCCCAAACATGGGAAGGAAAGATTCCCTGCGGATGCATGGCAGGGGGCAGGGGGACTTGACTCTGGCTGGCCGCAGGGGAGGAGTGTGTTCCCTATGCCCCAAGGGTTGAGGAGGAATCAGCCAGGTGGGGAGCGTACTCTCCAGACAGGAAGAACAGCCTGTGCAAAGGCTCTACGGTGTGGCGGGCAGGTACCTGGTCTGTCTGGGGAACAGGGTGAAGGATGATGTGGCTGGTGGCCTGGGCAGTGAAGGTGAGGGGCTGAGCCTGGGGATGGGGTGGGTAGAGGCCAGACAGAATGGGGCCTGGTACATAAGAAGGGGAATTCTGCCTCCCTCCATTGGACGAGCAACAAGAAGCTTATGACATGTCTTAAGTGAAGGGGGACAGGATAAGACATGTGCTGAGTGGAGATTGCTATGTGGAGATGGACAGGAGAGGGTGGAAATGAGAGGTGATGGGTTCAGGGCAGCGTCTGAGAGCGAGTGGAGTGACTCCTGAGGCCCCACTGTCACCTTGGCAAGAACTGGGGAACAGGTCGGGTGGCATTGATAGCTCATCCGTGCTCTAAACCAACCTCCTCAAGACGCTCCACCCAGCCTCCCTGTACTCTCACCGCATCAGCCCCACCTGACCAGCCCACTGACTCAGGCGCTGGGGGGCACGGGGGCAGGAAGTCACGGAGGGCAGGGCTGGCTCCTCCAACAGGTCAGGCCAGTCTTCCTTGCCTCGGGCAGAGCCATCCACGACACAGGCCAGGAAATGGGGTCAGGGTACCCAGCCCCCAGGGTTGACCAACAGCTGGCACGGGCCTGACCCCGGGCTTGGAAAGAGAGCGAAGCCAGGTGTGGGTCTGGAATGCAGAACACAATTCCAGCCTGGCAGAGGACCAGAGGTGGTAGGGGTGGCAAAGGCACCTCTCCCGCTGCCACGGTATGTGGCGGGGCGGGCATCTGGGCCTGCCACTGGAAGGGACTCTGACCCAGGTCCAGGGGTCTGCTCCAGACCCAAAGTCATAGAAGGTCTAGAGCCCAGGTTGTGCCCCTACCTCCAGGCCCACGTCCCAGAAGATGCAGGATGATGGGATGGTGGTACCAGGTCACGTGAGGGAGGAGTTAGCGCCTGATAATCCCATCAGCTTTCCCAATATTCCTGCATTTAGCATAGGAAGTACTGCTGGTCAGGAAGAGCAGCTTTAGGAGTTCTCTGGTTCTCCTTGCCAGCCCATCTCTCCCCTTCAGACTCACCAACCTAGATATCCTGGCATTGCCACTGGTCCAAAGCAGTCCAGATCCTTTGGATCTGTCCCTGCCACCCAGGCTGGGCAGTTGGGACCCCCCCCCCCTCAGACCAAGCCTTGCCCCACACCCCCTAGCTGCCTTAGGATCAGGTTCTAAGGGGGGGGTAGTACCTTTATTCCCTATGAGAAGAGAATGGAAAAACTGGGGAGGGGGTCCCCTGGAAGCTACTCTTACACCTCTGGGGGGAGTAGGAGCATAGCATGTGTGAGTCCAGGCTCAGGATTGGGGTGCGGGAGAGACCCTTTAGGCGGGTGGGATATCCCTATCAGCAAGAACTGGACACAGAAGAGAGAATCTTTGGGGCCTGTCAAGAAGTCCTGTTCCTTGGGGAAAGTCAAGCTAGAGGCCCTTGGAGCACCCCCCCTCAGGACTCTCCTGAGAGCTTTAGGGGACACAGGGCCATCTGACCAAAGCCACACAGTACTGACTGCAGACTCAAATGTCTCAGGAATGTGAGTGAGTGAAGCAGCCTGGTGGGAGACACTTGGGAGTGGTGGGGACTGGGGCAGCCAGTGAGCCTGGGCCTCTATCAGAGGGGGCAGCTATTACTCAGCCCTTGCCCGTTGTTCCTATTTAAGGCAAGCTGGGAAGTCCCGTTTTAATGTGAAACCACCGGATTTTTCAATGTTGGCAATGGCTTCAAAGTTTTAAAAAGTACCAGACAGGCCAAATGAAACACAGCCGAGAGCCAGCACCGGCCCAGGAGCAGAGGTTCACAAGCCATGCCCCACATCTACATATACCAAGAAAAGCATGTAGTGCAAGCTGGGCTGGAGGGGATGACAGGTATGCCAAGGCCCTCTGGAAGTTGGGAGCTGAGCTGGTCCCCAAAGGCTCTGAGGCATGACCCTGACCACAAACATGGAGCAGGAGGGCAGGGCATTTTCCTGGAATATTCCAAGGCAGGGGATTTTTCTGGACTAGTCTAGCCCCTGGCACCACCCTCCCCCCTACCAAGGGCCACCATCAGCTACACCCAGGCCCCACCCACTGATGGTGAGGCCCAACCTCCCACCCCATCTCACCCCTCCAGCACTGTGGGGCCTTGGGCAGACTCACTTCCCCTTCCTGTGTCTCAGTCCCTTCTAAAATGTGGAGAAGGTGGCCCAGGGATACTCACCTCCCTGAAAGCCCTCATGGTTAAAAGGACCCCAGAACTCAGATTCAGCATTAGAGATTGTACTTAGGAGGCTCTCAGAGGGCTCTGTGTGGCCTGCCCAAGAGTTTTTGAAACTGGGATTAGCTACCAACAATAACACATTGAGAGATTTCACCTAAAAGCCCCAGATTTCCAGTTTCTCTTGAAAAACCTGAAACTCTGGCAGACTGGGGCAGGTCGTTAAGGCAGAGCCCTTACACCAACCCCCACTTTCCCTACCCACCCACCGCCACCTCCCCGGGTCTCCACAAGCTGTGGGGTCTGCTCCTTGAGTTTAAATAGTGCCCTTATATCGCCTGCCTGATGTGTCATAGGTATCCGGGTTTGGGACTCTTGGTCTCAATATTCTCTTGCTTTTATGAAAAACAGGGACCCGCCCAGAGTCATATGGCAAACTAGCGGCAGAGCAGGCGGGAGCGCGGGACTCCTGCCTCCTCAGTCCGGAGGTGGATGAGTGAGTTTATCAGGCAGCCGGCGAAATGACCCCTTTAGCGAAGAGAGGAGGCGGGTCTCTGTCGGCCCCGCCCCTCCCCGTGGGGGAGCGGCCCCGCCCCCAGCCCTTAAAGCGCGACCCGCCTCCCGCGAGCTGACTCCGCAGCCCAAGCCCGGGGCGGGGAGACACGGACGCTGCTGCCTCGGGACCCCGGAACCCAGGACCCCACCGGGCCGGCCGGCCCGCCCCGCCCGGCTCCTGCCGCCGCCGCCGCCGCCCCCCGGTGAGTGTCTGCCGGGCCGGGGCGCTGCGGGCAGAGACCGGGGGCGCCATGGGGTGGGCTGTGCAACGCGCCGATCACGCGCGCGAACCCCCCCCTCCCGTCGCGCGCACACGCACTCAGGACGGAAACGCGACCCCCAGCCCCGCACGATCACCCGGGCCGACCTGGTCCCAGGGCAGGCGGGTCCCATGCACCCCCTGCCCGCGCCCGACTCGCCCCCTCCTACGGCAGTCCCGGACAGCCCCACGGCCGCGCGCGCGTCCAAGGCTCACCGGCCAGTAGCCGGCAGGGCTGTG